ATTTGTGTTTCTTTTTTTATTGCTTGAACTTTCTTCTGCATTCTACTGTATGGACGTAAATGTACTTTCCCTTCAGCCTGAGGCTTATTCATTTCACTTTTGGTGTGAAAAGGCTTTTATATTTGCCAAAAATATAACTTTTTTATTTTAAAAACAAACAAGCAAGCCCTGTCCAGATTTAAAAAGTAACGCAAAAGTAACGTACCATTACTTTCCATACAAAGTAACTAAGTAACGTGATTAGTTACTTTTTTATGGAGTAACGCAATATTGTAATGCATTACTTTTAAAAGTAACTTTCCCCAACACTGGTTACAGTTTACTTTATTTTGCTATCCTCACTTACATAAATGAACTATAGTGTCCTGCACCCACTAGTAAAAAAATATAAAAAATTATACCTGGTGTCTGAATAATTTTTGGTTTGACTCTATATAAGTTAAATTGGGAAAAACCTCAATTTTGTTTTAAATATACTGATGAAAATATTTTTTAAATATACTGCTATTAATAATTTCAGATACTACTACTACTACTAATAATAATAAGCATCTCAGCTGATTTCCGCACAGGACTATATTTATTTCTTAAAATAAATAAATCAAAAATAAATAATTAAAATAAAATGCACTTTCCTACAAATTATTACTACGAAAGTTGCACCTATTACTTGATTCGTTAAATGTTTTCGAATTTAAAGTAGCGTGCATAATATTAACAAGAAGCAACATCATCAGACTTAACATGAAAACAATACAAAAAATCAAACGACACTTTCTTTCTTTCTTGTCGTTGTGCGCAGTGAAGTAACGTTAAGCAGCGAGTGTCTCCGGCTTTGAGCTGCAGCAGCGCGTTTGAGTTTCACACAGTTTCACTTGTTGCTGCAGCTCCACAAACCCGACCTGCGCGCAACAGCTGCGGTGTTTACAACTCACAACAGCCCGCTGAACTCACCTCTTCTTCTCTTTCTCAGCTGTCATCTCTCGGTCCCCTCGCAGTTACAGGACGCGCTCCAAACCACCAAAAACGCTCGCCTTATATAACAGAAAAGAGCGCACAATTGATCGTGAAAATGCAGTAAAGTCCACCCGCAGGGCAAAAGTGACTGTACAGTCTCAGAACACTGCCAAGGATCGTACAGTCTCCCACTTTTGTAAAATCCGAGCGCGGTGAGGGAGTTTCTCGCTTGTTTTGCGGTCAGTGAAGTTCACAGACCGCGGCGCCGCACTGAAGGGCGCTTGACAGCTGAGCAATCAATTACAGCTCTCTGATTGGCTGGAGCCGCCATTGGGAACCGCCCACCGTCAGGGCTGACAGGACATTCTGCATTATGTGCTTTGCTCCTGCAGCTCTACCTTTTCCAAAAGCTAGCATCAAACTTTAATCAAACTCATTTTAATCAGTTAAGTATCGTGATTTAGTTGAAAATGACAACAGCATAATTGTAACTATAAACTGTGCGAGATGGCATGTCTCTCTGGAGCCAGGACTGTGTGGACAAGTAAGCTAAAAGGCTAATGAAAAACATTCAGGGATGAGGGGCACATTTAATCATTTAAGAATCATTGGTACATTAGTTATTTAGGCCAATGTATGGCTTTCCTGAGAAGAAAAATTGTTTTATAGTATGTTTCTGTATTTTGACCCTTAATGTAACAGCATCACTATTTTAAAACTAAACTCAACTTAACTTAAAACTAAAACTCATATTTTTGGCAAACACATGTAGCTTTTTTAATGTGTTTTCACTGGGTCAGAGGAACATATTAACATAATTAGAATAGAAAATAAGAATAGGTTATTTTTTAAATGATTGTTTTTAGTGTCTCTGGGATCACAAACATAAAGACAGTAAAAATATCTGCAGATATCAGTCTACAGACTTTAATCTGAGGCGAAAATATGCAAAATATGTCTGTTCCAGCCTGAAAGTGAATATAAGCGGAACAAGGTTAAAGATAATATATCTTTATATATATATTTTATATATAAATATATCTAAGATAATTTATAATATATACCGTCAAACATTTGGAAGAATTAAGATTTTTTTTTTCAGTTTTTGAACGAAGTCTATTATGCTCACACACATAAATAAATAAGTAAATAAATACATAAATAAATCAAATTTAAAAACAGTATTTATGAAATATTATTGCAGTTTAAAATAACTAACTGCTGTCTGTTTTAATATATTTTAAAATAGAATTTTAAGCAGTCATTACTCCAGTCTTCAGTGTCACACGATCCTTCATAAATCATTCTAATATGCTGATTTGCTGCTCAGTTATTAATAATGGTTGAAAAGTTTTGAAAAGTTTTTCATGATTAATAATGTGGAAATCATGACACTTTTTGCTGCTCAGTTATTAATAATGGTTGAAAAGTTTTTCATGATTAATAATGTGGAAATCATGACACTTTTTTTAGTATTCTTTGATGACAGTTTAAAAGAACAGTATTTATTTGAAATGGAAAGCTTTTGTAACATTATAAATGTTTTACTGTCACTTTTGATCAGTTGAATGCATCTTTGTTGAATTAAAGTATTCTTTTCTTTTCTAAGGACTAACCCTAAACTTTTGACTGGTAGTGTATGTAGTTTGTAGATTTTAAATGTACCATCTAGGACGATCTGCTCTCAATTCACAGACGACTTGATGTTTCCCTGCTGATTTTATATATACAGTATTTAAAAAGACTATTATATTTTCCCAGTGTGTGTGTGTGTAAACAACTATGTTTGTCCTATCCTCAATCAGTCATTTATTCTCAAAATACAGCACAATACAACTTTCACTGCAGTTAGAACTATTGCACTCAGATTATTCAATTTACAGAAAGTTCTGTGCATTCCCAAACTGACAAGTTTATGCATTTCCTCATGTCCTTGGACATCTATAGCCTCCATCTAGATTAGAAGGTCACATGTGACAGGACTAATCCTTCACTCTTTGTTTTGGTCATGATGACCCTTATTTTTGACCAAAGTTTACCCTCTAATTTCTCTCATGCTTAGCGATTTGCTTTTCCCATTATTTCCTCTACAGTTCATTTATGCATATTTGTTTACTGTTTAATTATAGCCTATCAGAAGCAACCACTACTGTCTTCTCCAGCATTCTGTACAAATACAGAGTATGCACTTAGATTTTTAAAACACTTTGTCTCAGCTACAGTACTATGAATTTGGAGACTTCAAACAGTTTGGTTCATTTCTGACATCTTATTTAATAGGTTACAAACCAAACGATGCACATTCACATCCTTTGAGAACAGTACATTTGGCACACAGTAAAATGCGAATAATGACATGACAGTGACTAATGGCAAAGATGTCCAAAAAAAACAACATGTTTTATGACATACTGTACATATGAAGCTGCACAATAAGATAAAAAAGAAATACATACACATTTAAGATACTTCCAGTGACATAAAACACTTATGTAACATATTAATATGCACTGTACCTCTGTATGTACAAATATGTATTCCTTTGTGAGACACAGGTTCACGTTTAACCAAAGAGGTGCTTTCATCTTATGCTTGAACATGTCAATGTGTTTCCTATGTAGAGTCATTTTAAAAACAATAATAAAAAAAGAGTTACTCATGAAGTCCAAAATAGCTTTGCAAATTTCGCATCAGGGCACAGGTGTTTGGCAGGTGTAGCTGTGAGAGTTTCCTGTTAGTGGACTCCATCCAGGCCAATAGATGCCAGTTCAGAACGGCACAAATAAGGCCAGACATGCTTTGAGAAAAACGACCAAACAAATGAAAGGTAAACTATGCAAAAAAATCTAACTCAAAATGAAGCAACAGATCTGTAAAATGTGCATGAAATGAGTGAAGGTCTCAATGTCAACATGAGACGCTGTTCACAACCCACTTTTCACTTTGGTGATCTGATATGTAGAAAAAATGTAGGACGGAAAGTAAATATTTTGCAACAGGAATTGATTGGACTGTGAAAAGTGAGGTGTTTGGATGCAAAGGGTGACATCAGCAGAAAGATAAAGTTGTTTCAAATGCTATTTTTTTTATTACAGATAAATCTGGCAACAATTCATGTTGACATTTAAACCCAGTGTTGGCAAGAGTCTGCCAAAAAAAAAACAAAAAAAAAAACCTTGCAATGAAATGTTTAAGATGTTGAATTTATTACAAATGCGTTCATTATTTTTTATGTTCATACTGAAATGAACTGATTGGATTTTTTTGACAAATATAACCAGTCTTGCCTTCATCACTGTTACAGTTTTCATATTAGGAGCAATTCTAGGGTACTTCAGTTGTGCTATATTTAGAATGGAAGATCATTTCTATGTATTTTACTTTTTTGCCACAGAAGTTTAATATTTTGCCTCTTGTCTAACTTGAGTATATGAAATACAGAGGCTGTAGCAGCTGAATTAAAGGACCTGTACTGGATATTGAATGACCTGACAACCTAACGATTACCAACCAAAACGGACAGACTGCAAAAAACGGTGGAAATCAGAGACATTAAAGGTGAGATGGAGAGGGAAAAAAATCGCTAAACCAACACACACACACACACACACACACACACACACACCCACAC